TCACTTGAGCCCAGGAGTTGGAGGTTGCTGTGAGCTATGATGCCACAGCACAGGGGGACAGCTTGAGGCTCTGTCTCAAAAAAAAAAGAACTCTGACTCAGTGGGTAGGGCGCCAGTCTTGTATACCAAGGGTGGTGGGTTTAAACTTGGACCCAGCCAAACTGCAGCAAAAGAATAGCTGGGCATTGTTGTGGCAGCCTGTAGTCCCAGCTGCTCAGGAGGCTAAGGCAAAAAAATTGCTTGAACCCAGGAGTCAGATGTTGCTGTGCCTAAACCCAGGAGTTAAGAGTTTGCTGTGAGCTGTGATGCTAGGCACTCTACTGAGGGCAATACAGTGAGACTGTCTCTAAAAAAAAAAGAAGTTCCAAACTGTTCAGATTAAACTGCCAACATCCAAAGATGGTCCTGGGGTGGCAGCTAGGAAGAAAATTTTTTTGAGTGAATAAAATATTACCTGTTGAAAGGAATCTTCAAATAATGTTTTCCTTGTCACTGTAATCTTTATGTGCTGTGGCATGGCCAGTTGCTGAAATATAAGAATGACGTAAGTCAACTCTCACCATTAAAATGGCCTATCAAGAAATTAAAAGAAGAAAGTTTTTTTACTTTTATTTTTGCCTTCAGAAACAAGTAGAGTATAAATAGGAATTCATATTCAATAATGTTTAACCAGGCATTTGTGAACATTTGTGCTAATTAGATTATTCAATATATTAAAAACAGAGGAAAACAAGGTATAAACACAGTGCTTATTTAATGAGTCAAATAAATCTTTTCTTAATTTTATCATCAAAAAGTTAATTCAAATTCTTCTTGCTTCCATAAGTCCAGTTAATTATAGGAGTTTGAAGTTTAAAAATATTCATGATAGTAACACTTTGACTAGTGCATTCATTTTCTTTGGAATCCATTAAAAATCATAATTCAATCAAGTATAATATTTGTACATCAGAATAGCTGATCACACCCAAAAAACTGCTCTAAATATAACATGCACATATTCATATATGTAAAAACATGTATTATCTAGCAAAGTTCAATTATATTAAACGCTTGATATAAAAACAGCTGGTTAGAATTTATAAATCAGAAAATGTTCTGGCTTATATTGGAAGATTTCTGCTATTGGAAAGTAATGGGTACTGAGAGAAAAGTGATAATGTTTTCTTATTCCAGTGGTTTTAAGCTTAATTTAGCTTCTGTTGTCCATAAAATTATCTAATTGATAAATCTTTCTTTGCTTTAAAAATAAAGGAAAGATATTCCTTTATTTGTATAGTTAACTATTTTCACAATCACTGTATAACATAAGCATCATAACAAAGAAAAGAAAGGAAGGACAGAGACATTCCCAATACTAACCTGACACCAGAATCGGAAATACTGAACCTTTGCCTTGAAGTCCCGAACATAGGCTATCTGGGGTCCATTGTCTCTGAGGAAGGACATAGGTTAATATGACATATATATGGCTACTTGTATAAGATAATGCTGAAGGAAAGAAAGCAAAATGCCATACCCCGCTCAGTATTTGGCAAACACAAAAATATCAAGTACAGCATATTCCCAATACAACTTTTCTTTCTTTGAAATACTTCTTTATTACTTTTTTAAGTAAAAGGGCAAATAATAATAATAATAGTAGTAATAAGCTTGGCACCTGTAGCTTAGAGGTTAGGGTGCCAGCCACATACACCAAGGCTGGTGGGTTCAAACCCACCCCAAGCCCTGCTAAACAACCACAACTACAACAACAACAACAAAAATAGCCAAGTACTGTGGCAGGCGCTTGTAGTTCTAGCTACTTGGGAGGCTGAGGCAAGAGAACTGTTTAAGCTCACGAGTTTGAGGTTGCTGTGAGCTGTGACACCATGGCACTCTACCAAGGGCAACATAGTAAGACTATCTCAAAAAAAGTAAATAAATAAAAATAAACTTTGATCTTGTTGAAGCCACTTTTGTGGGGTTTCCTTTTATATGCAGCCAAATGTAATAGGGAGAGGTAAAGGAGATTCTATCTGAGAATGCTATCTGTCTCAACATCCACTCCCTCATTTATTCCTAAATGAGACCCTTGACATTTAACTGTGCAGTATGCTACCTACATTTCTCAGTGTGGCCTTGTGGCTTAAGCCTGGCTAATAAACTCAAAGTGAAAGTGGTGTGTGAGACTTTCAGAAAGGCTCTTTTTTTTGAGCCAGAGTTTCAAGCTGTTGCCCTGGGTAGAGTGCCATGGCATCATAGCTCACAGTAACCTCCAACTCTTAGGCTTAAACTATTCTCTTGCCTCAGCCTCCCAAGTAGCTGGGACTACAGGTGCACACCACAATGCCTGGCTATTTTTGTTGTAGTTGTTATTGTTGTTTGGCAGGTCCGGGCATGGTTCAAACCTGCCAGCTCTGGTGTATGTGGCTGGTGCCCTAGCTGCTGAGCTACAGGCAGAGCCTCAGAAAGGCTCTTTTTAAAAGAGAGCTGAGATAGCTGGAAATTTTCTTTTTCCCTTCATTACTATTTGCCCTTCCTCCATATTCCTGCCTGCCGTGTGACTCTGAAGAAAACTGCAGACCAACATATCTTTATGAACATTGACGCAGAAATCCTTAACAAAGTATTAGCAAACAAACCTCAGTAGCACATTGAGAAGATTAATGTATTAGTCCCTTTGACTAAGTATGATTTATTCTTAGAATTTAAGGATGGTTCAATATATGAAAAACTAACATAATACACACAATATTAACAGAATTTTAGTGTAGAAAATTCGACAAAATTCAACGCTCCTTCATGACAAAAAAAAAAGCAACAAACTACAAATGGTAGAACTACCTTAACATAATAAAGGGCATATATGAAAACCACATTCAGTGGTTAACAGCTTTTCCTCTGACATCAGAAAAATATAAGAATGCCTACTTTCACCATTTTTAGCAAACACAGTATTAGAAATTCTAGCCAGAGCAATTAGGCAAGAAAAGAAATCTAAAACATATGAAAAAGTCATCCCAATTAGAAAGGAAGAAATAATTAGAAAATTATTTGATCTTATGTGTAGAAAATACAAAACATTCCATACCAAAAACAATAAAAAACCAATAAACAAATTCAGCAAAGTAGCAGTAAACAAAGTCAACACACAAAAATCAGTTCTATTGGCTCGGCGCCTGTGGCAGTGGTTATGGCACCAGCCACATACATGGAGGCTGGCAGGTTCAAACCTGGCCTGGGCCAGCTAAACAATGACAACTGCAACAAAAAAATAGTCGGGCATTGTGGTGGGCACCTATAGTCCCAGCTACTTGGAAGGCGGAGACAAGAGAATCACTTAAGCCCAAGAGTTTGAAGTTGCTGTGAGCTGTGACGCCATAGCACCCTACCAAGAGTAGAGTGAGACTTAGTGAGACATCTTAAAAAAGAAAAAAAGGATCAGTTCCATTTCTACATGCCAACAATAAACAGAAAAATAAGGAAACATTTCCGTTTACAATAACATCAAAAAGAAAAAAATACTTTGAAATTAACTTAACCAAGGAAGTAAAAAGATTTCTACACTGAAAACTGCAAAAGCACTGATGAATTTTAAAAGACATAAATAAATAGAAAAATATCCGTGTTCATGGATTGGAAGACTTATTAGTAAGATGACCATATGTCATACCCAAAGCGATCCAGAGATTCAATGCAATAAAGTATCAAGGACATTTTGTGCAGAAGAAAAATCCATCCTAAAATTCATATGGCATCTCAAGGAACTTTAGCCAAAACAATCTTGAAAAAGAACAACAGGCTCGGCGCC